AACGATTTAAGGGTATATATAAATTACCCAATGTGTACTTCCCAACTCTTCTAGAATTGATAATTTCTACGATTGCCCTTAATATTGCATAGGAATTTGTTCACCGAATAATTACAATTGTCTATATAAGTGTCTAATTACCCATGTGTGATATAGAGAAGAAATTTTCAAATTAAACTCATTCACAATTTTATTTCCCAAATTTGATCCACTTCAACACTTTCTTGCCACATCAGCATCGTGGCCAGAAAGTGGGTTGATTTTTTTTAAACGCAATTCTAATTAGTTAGGATTGGCAACCCCGACTACTTTGAACCTCACCGATAATTTGACAACCTAATTAGTCGGGGTTCGAAACCCCGACTAATTTAGCATCTATTTAAAATTGGTCGGGGTTGGGAACCCCGACCATTCTGAAATGCCTAATTTGAGCTCATGTCACTATTTTGTCAAATGTCCAAAGTAATCGATGAGGTCCAAAATAGTCGGGGTTGCCAACCCCGACTAATTAAGTTGCCAAATTGTCGACGAGGTCCAAAATAGTTAAGGTTGCAAACCCCGACTAATTAGGATCGCGTTTAAAATAAACCGGCCCACTTTCTGGCCACGATGCTGACGTGGCGAAAAAGTGAGTTAATTTTTATAATAAAGTTTGAATATGATCGAAATTTGAGATTAAAGTTAGAAATGAGTTTATTTAGAAAATTTCTTCGTGATATAGATCATTGGCTCTGTGCTGATTAGATGGGGATTGTGTGAGAATATCAATGTATTACTTGTTTTACCTTCATCATTATTGGCTCCTTGTGCATAAATTTACAAATAACTTTGTAACCGCAAGCTCCAATTCTAAAGGGAAAATAGTCATCTGTCCTTTAGTCAAATCTAATCAATATGGTCAAAATCAATGCAATCTATAAAATGCAAATTAACCAATAGATCAGAAAAGGCACAATGTATTGTGCAATTCACATAAGTGAAGTGTTAATATTAGACTTCCTAAACTTTGGGGCGTTCTCAAATAATCCCTTTAATTATTTATATAACCCCTTTGATTTTCCAAGGGGTTTTAGACAAAACCTCTGTGAATTTCTTTTATTCTATTAAATCCCTTGAGATTCTCTCTCTTAATCCCCAACAGTAAAATCGCAAATCTAAAGTGTTACTTCACTTGTCGACTTGTGGTTAAAATAATAATAATAATAAATACCACCATTTCATCCTTCTTATTATTTTCTCTAATACGACTAAGGTGTATTTTCATCTTTTCTATCACATACTCGACACATTATACTAGATGGTGTTACTTTAGACCTGAAAGTGAAAATCTTCAAGGAGTTTAATAGAACAAAGGACTTTGTATCGATATGTGCCAAACCTCTCAAAGCTCAGAGAGAATTAAGATAGTTAAGAGATCATATGAGAAACTCCCAACATAAGCGGTTTTTTCTGAATTTAACCGTTAAAAGAAAGAGACACCTCCATGCTTCCTCTTGGTGCTGAGCATGAGCCATGCGGCTTAGTAGAGATCCTATCAGCACCATCTCTATAGGAATGTGATGATCTATATCATAAATAAAAGAATTGTAATTTCTAGACTAACTCTCTAATCATTAATGGATGGTATAAATCACTCTCTTTTATAGGGCGTTATGGTAGAATCTTAACTCCATGTCAAACATAATAAAGGCTCTAAATGACTATCGACGCTTACCAATTCAATGAAACTCTTAACCTTTAAAATACTACAGACTTTAGGCCAACATTGTGAATATGTTATGAGATGTTAGATTTTTATCCAATGGAATGGAATTCATTACATATTCACAATTTTGGACTAAAATTTGTATTTCTTTAAAGGTTAAGAATTCTACTGAATTGGGAAGCGTCGATAGTCATCTAGAGCCTTTATTATGTTCTACATGGAGTTAGGATTCTACCATAACACCCTATAAAAGAAATTGATTTATACATGCATTAGTGATTAGAGAGTTAGTCTTGAAATTGTAATTCTTTCATTTATGATATAGATCACCATATTCCTATAAAGATGGCGCTGATAGGATCTCTACTAATCGGCATGACTCAGGCTCAGCACCAAGAGGAAGCATGGAGGTGTCTCTTTCTTTTAACAGTTGATTTCAGAAAATCCCCTTATGTTGGGAGTTTCTCAGATGATCTCTTAACTATCTTAATTCTAAAAAGGGAAAAATGCTTCCAGCCCCCAAAAGCCAAGTGAACATGCTTCCCACCCCCAGGACTTGGTCAATGGGTGTTTTACCCCTAAAAATAAAGAATCTGTTCTCTGAGCCCCCAAAACACAAAACCCAAGACATTAAAACATGTGAAGACCATAATACCATTCTCTCTCTCTTTCTTTTTTTTTATTAAAATATGATGGGGGGTTATTTTATTATTTTTGTTTTCTCTCTCTCTTTATCATGATGTACCAAGAGGATAGTTGAAATGATTGATGATGATTATTTTATTATTTTCGTTTTTTATTATTTTGGTTGTTTGTATTGGGAGGTTGTTAAAGTTACGGGTTGATTGTTAAGGTTACGGGTTGGTTGTTAAGGCTAAGGGTTTGTTGTTAAGGTTATGAATCGTCTCTCTCTCTCTTTCTTTTTTATTAAAATATGATGGGGATTATTTTATTATTTTTGTTTTCTCTCTCTCTTTATCATGATGTACCAAGAGGATAGTTGAAATGATTGATGAGGATTATTTTATTATTTTCGTTTTTTATTATTTTGGTTGTTTGTATTGGGAGGTTGTTAAAGTTACGGGTTGATTGTTAATGTTACGGGTTGGTTGTTAAGGTTAAGGGTTTATTGTTAAGGTTGTGAATCCTCTCTCTCTCTTTCTTTTTTTATTAAAATATGATGGGGATTATTTTATTATTTTTGTTTTCTCTCTCTCTTTATCATGATGTACCAAGAGGATAGTTGAAATGATTGATGAGAATTATTTTATTATTTTTGTTTTTTATTGTTTTGGTTGTTTGTATTGGGAGGTTGTTAAAGTTACGGGTTGATTGTTAAGGTTACGGGTTGGTTGTTAAGGTTAAGGGTTTGTTGTTAAGGTTGTGGATTTGTTGTGTAGGTTACGGATTTGTTGTTAAGGTTACGTGTTTAATTGTTAAGGTTACGGGTTTAATTGTTAGGGTTACCTATCTAAAGATCCTCTTGGTACATCATGATAAAGAGAGAGAGAGAGAGAGAGAGAGAAAAATAAAATAAAATAATCCCCCATCATATTTTAATAAAAAAGAAAGAGAGAGAGAAGAGTATTATGGTCTTCACATGTTTTAATGTCTTGGGTTTTGTGTTTTGGGGGCTCAGAGAACAAAATCTTTATTTTTAGGGGTAAAACACCCATTGACCAAGTCTTGAGGGTGGGAAGCACGTTCACTTGGCTTTTGGGGGCTGGAAGCATTTTTCCTTTCTAAAAAACCTCTCCGAGCTTTGAGAGGTTTGGCACATATAGATACAAACGTCTTTTGTTCTATTAAACTCCTTGAAGATTTTCACCTTCAGGTCTGAAGTAACACTGTTTAGTATAACGTGTCACTTGTCGAGTATGTGATAAAAAGATGATTATATACCTTAGTCATATTAGAGGAAATAATAAGAAGGATCAAAGGGTGGTATTTATTATTGTTATTATTTTAACCACAAGTCGACAAGTGAAGTAACACGTTAGACTTGCGATTTTACTATTGCGGATTAAGTGAGAGAATTTCGAGGAATTTAAGAGAATACAAGAAATTCATAGAGGTTTTGTTTAAAACTCCTTGAAAAATCAAAGGGGTTATATAAATAATTAAAGGGATTACTTGAAAACGCCCCAAAGTTTAGAAAGTCTGAAATTAACACTTCACTTATGTGAATTGCACAATACATTATGACATAAAAAAATCACGTAGGGCGAAAAAGCAAAGTGAAACATATCCCCTATTGAATTTGAAGTTGCGCCTTTTCTAATCCATTGGTTAATTTGCATTTTATAGATTGCATTGATTTTGACTATATTGATTAGATTTGACTATAGGATAGATGATTGTTTTCCTATTAGAATTGGAGCTTATGGCTACAAAGTTATCAATAAATCTATGCGCAACGGGCCAATAAAACGAAGGCAAAAAATAATCCATTGATTTCCTCACACAACCACCATCTAGTATGCACGGATTCAATGATCACATGGATGGATAGTCACTTTTATAAATAATTGTAATTATTCAGTCAATAGTGTAAACTAAGCGCAAGTCGGTGAAATTATCAATTCTAAAAGAGTTGGGAATACAATAATTCCAATTCTCACGCAGCCGGGTCGCATTTGAAAATTGTTTTTTAAAAGACAATAACTAAAAACTTTGACCAGTGAGCGCGTTTGTGTATCCTTGCGCATCATCAATATTTTATTTATAAAAGAAGTAATATGGTCAAAGGGATAAGCAAAAGGTTTCGTTGCATGCAACCCCAAAGCTCGGATTTACATGCACGTGCGCGTGTGAGAATTTATAGTCAATTTTCTGACCAAAAATTATCGCAGAGAGAGATAGAGAACGGGAAACTGAATCTAGATTACCTTCATTGTAATATAATTCAAATCCTAATAAAACTCTATTTATGACTATTATCCTATCACATAGAATGGACCATTCATGTTATCATACTTCAAAGTGCAGAGGCCACTTACAAAAATGCAAAAGGATCAGGAAAAATACTAAAGCTAATTCTTGCTGACGCAAAGGTAAAATAAAATTATTTTTAATATTATATTGTTTTCCCATCGTTACATCTGATCATATGAATATTGCTAAATCTCATTTTCTATTCGGTAAATTACATTAAAACACCGATAACTATCAGAATGACTTTTTATGATATTTTCCTATTTACATATAATATATAGATTATTATTAATTAATTATATTTTCCATAAATTGATCTCTGGTGTTAATAATATTTGCAGGGTAACAAATACAAGCAGTAATGTACGGAGAGACTATCGAAAAGTTTATAGATATGCTTCGAAAAAAGCAAATTATTTTCATTTCAAATGGAGAAGTGAAAGGAATAAACCCAGCTTTTCCAAGTATCCACAAGTCACTAGAATTAGTACTAACAAAAGACGTATCGATCAAAAAAACACCAACAGGATTCCACTTAGAGAACATAGTTAACAACTTTGTGCCATTTGAAGAAGCATTTTTCATGAAAGATGCAACAAAAATTAGTAAGTACTTACAAACTTCTTGCTTAAATTTTGAATACAAAATGAGACATTAATCTACAGAATCATAATCTTTTTATCAAATCACTTGCAGATATTCTAGCAATAACAACTAATGTGAAGCCGGCAATCAACTATATTACAAGACACAACAAATCAGACAATAGGAGGGAAATCACACTTATGGATATAAGGTATATACATGTTACTTATTTCCAATATCATAAGAGAAAAAAAGATTAACGTTCTTTCTTTTTTCATATGCAGTGGAATGCCAATGCGTGCAACTTTATTTGGAGATTTGGCTACAAATGAAGGATCAATTCTTGAAGCAGAAATCAAATATAAGCCTGTAATAGCATTATCAGATTTTAAAATCTCTATATATCAAGGTACATAAATTATTGCTAAAATTCTTATTAAAGATAGCTAAACATAAAATTAATCCTATAATTTTCCCATTTTTGCCGGAGATACAAGCATATCGTCACAAATTATTTCAACATTATGTATAAACCCAAAAATAGAACTAGCTAGCGAATTAAAGGAATGGTAAGCAGAACAATCAAACTTTCATATAACCCAATAATGAAATGATATTATATTTTAATCTAATATGCAAGTTTCAATTGGAAAAAGCTGCAAAAGCAAAAGGATCTCCATCAACACTTTTTAAAAATGTCAAGGAAATTCATATTAGTGATATTATGCAAACATCACAAAATTCGATACAGGTACAATATTATATACATATTCTTATCTACAAATTTAAAACTAACTAAACTTTGTTTATATACAGGCACAATATTGCATATTTAAGGAAAAGATAACTACTATTTTAAATAGGCTCGAGCCATGGTTCTATTCTTGCAAAGGCTGTGACAAGAAGGTTGATAAAAATGTTAGTAAAGAGTGTCTGAATGACAAATACCGCAGAATCATTGATGACCCAGTACCAAGGTTAAGTAATATATATTTTTTAATGCCATGAACATATTATAATACAATACTAATTGTCTTTAGAAATTAACAATGAAAAATACAGGTACTTAGTTAAGATTCTCGTGGAAAATGACACGGATAATGCAAGAGTAACACTCTTTGACGCAGCAGAAACTCTTATTGGATGCAAAGTAGAAAAAATCATTACAGAAAAGAAAGAGGTAATTCCTAACTCTATTCAAGTAGTAAATTAGAAAATAAACAAATTCATAAGTATTAATATAACATTTGTTCTCATTGCAACAGAAAAATAATCAGAGTCCATATTTTCAAAAATTAGTTTTGAACATCGGTAAAAGTTTCAAATTCCTGGTGAAGTTAGATGAAAAGACAAAAGATAAACGAGGCGAAGGCAATATAATAGCATAAGAAATTCAACTCCAGACTAATATTACAATCGACGTAAGTGATGAAGATGCTACTCTAGAGTTACCCAGAAAAAAGATAAAGGTGAAGAAAGATTATTCTTGGTCCAATTATAAATTTTCAAGAACAATATTTTTTAATTATTTTATATAACAACTTAATTTTTTATTACAATTAAGAATTTTTATAAGGCATTTTCATGCAAAGTTATTAGTAGTTTTGTATGCTTATGTGATTGCTTAAATCACATTAAATTACACTTTGATATTTAACCATTTTAATATATTTTATTATTATCTATGGATATGATCCTGCATTTCATGAGAGGCAATCGATAAAATCTGCTTTTATTGATCCTGTGAATGGATATATTGTGAGCTAGATGTAAAATACTCTTAGGGGGTGTTTGTTTTGTTTTTTTTTTTTGGATATAAGGTGGATTTCAAGTTTTGGGATGTAAAAAGTGCTCTTTTTGAGTTTTGAGATTCCATAAACTTTGTTTGTTTCAAAATTAATTTTGGGATATTGAATCCCTAAATTATAAACAAATAATATATTTTTAGGATTTGTGAAATCCTCTCTTTTGTTTCAACCTTTTTTTGGGATATAAGGTGGATTACAAGTTTTTTGGGTTTCAGAATTCCATAAACAATGTTTGTTTCAAAACCAATTTTGGGATATTGAATCCCCAAATGCAACGCGTTGACTGGCGTTGACCTAGGGTTACGCGTTGACCGGCGTTGACCCTTAGGGTTTTGAATCGTCGAACGTCGATTGGTGTGGATTTTCATCCTCGAACGTTGACTTTTGTCGCAACGCGTTGACTGGCGTTGACCTAGGGTTACGCGTTGACCGGCGTTGACCCTTAGGGTTTTGAATCGTCGAACGTCGATTGGTGTGGATTTTCATCCTCGAACGTTGACTTTTGTCGCAACGCGTTGACTGGCGTTGACCTAGGGTTACGCGTTGACCGGCGTTGACCCTTAGGGTTTTGAATCGTCGAACGTCGATTGGTGTGGATTTTCATCCTCGAACGTTGACTTTTGTCGCAACGCGTTGACTGGCGTTGACCTAGGGTTACGCGTTGACCGGCGTTGACCCTTAGGGTTTTGAATCGTCGAACGTCGATTGGTGTGGATTTTCATCCTCGAACGTTGACTTTTGTCGCAACGCGTTGACTGGCGTTGACCTAGGGTTACGCGTTGACCGGCGTTGACCCTTAGGGTTTTGAATCGTCGAACGTCGATTGGTGTGGATTTTCATCCTCGAACGTTGACTTTTGTCGCAACGCGTTGACTGGCGTTGACCTAGGGTTACGCGTTGACCGGCGTTGACCCTTAGGGTTTTGAATCGTCGAACGTCGATTGGTGTGGATTTTCATCCTCGAACGTTGACTTTTGTCGCAACGCGTTGACTGGCGTTGACCTAGGGTTACGCGTTGACCGGCGTTGACCCTTAGGGTTTTGAATCGTCGAACGTCGATTGGTGTGGATTTTCATCCTCGAACGTTGACTTTTGTCGCAACGCGTTGACTGGCGTTGACCTAGGGTTACGCGTTGACCGGCGTTGACCCTTAGGGTTTTGAATCGTCGAACGTCGATTGGTGTGGATTTTCATCCTCGAACGTTGACTTTTGTCGCAACGCGTTGACTGGCGTTGACCTAGGGTTACGCGTTGACCGGCGTTGACCCTTAGGGTTTTGAATCGTCGAACGTCGATTGGTGTGGATTTTCATCCTCGAACGTTGACTTTTGTCGCAACGCGTTGACTGGCGTTGACCTAGGGTTACGCGTTGACCGGCGTTGACCCTTAGGGTTTTGAATCGTCGAACGTCGATTGGTGTGGATTTTCATCCTCGAACGTTGACTTTTGTCGCAACGCGTTGACTGGCGTTGACCTAGGGTTACGCGTTGACCGGCGTTGACCCTTAGGGTTTTGAATCGTCGAACGTTGACTTTTGTCGCAACGCGTTGACTGGCGTTGACCTAGGGTTACGCGTTGACCGGCGTTGACCCTTAGGGTTTCGTGCATCGAATGTTGATTGGTGTTGATTTTCATCAAAACATCCAATAATCGACGAAAACGGGCGTATCCGGGTCCAAAACAGGCATATAGGACGAAACGGGACTCAAAACACCCGGGGGTGTCTCGCCTTTGGCCGAGACACCTTGGGGTGTCTCGGCCAAGGCCGAGACACCTTGGGGTGTCTCGGCCAAGGCCGAGACACCTTGGGGTGTCTCGGCCAAGGCCGAGACACCCTAGGGTGTCTCGGTTCTAGGGCCGAGACACCCCCCCCCCTCTTGCTTCTTTTCTTTTGTCTTTTTCCCTTTTTTGCTTTGTTTCTTTTTCCTTTTGTTTTGGTCCATTACTTCTTTTGTTTTCCCCCCTTCTTTTCAAAATTCAAAAGAGAGTTCCCTCTCTTACTTAGCTCAAAACCGAACCCCCTCCCCTCTATTTCGGTTTTGAGGTTCTTCTTCCCCAAACTTCTTTCCTCCATTGAAGAACCCATCAATCTTTAAGCAATCTTGGATTTTAGCGGATACCCATTGGCCGGAAGCTTGCATTCCCCAAATAGGGTTCTCTCCTCCATCTTCAAGCTCAAAGAAAATCTCCTTTGATTTGGTAAGCTTCCTTTCACAATCCTTTTATTTTCTTGTAAAGGTTGCATTTTTAGGCTTGTAGTAGGCTAGGGGTTGTGTATGCACCATACATTGGGGTGTTTTGTGCAAAAAAGGTGACATGGCCGAATTTTGGGGGGCTTATTTGCAAAATAGGGGCTGAAATTCGTGGGGTTTTATTTGCAAAAGTGGGACTGAAATTTGGGTATTTAGTTTGTGTCCACTTGGTGAAGGGATGTGGGGGGTGCTTTATGCAATAGGATTAAGGAGTTGTTTGAGGGGTTTATTTGCAAAACAGCCCCTAAACGTTTTGGAGGGGCTTATTTGCAAAAAGGGCTGTGAAATTGAGGCTGAAATCCAAGGGGTCTAAACCCCAAGCCCCTGATCAAATTTTGATAAATGCATGTGGAGACCAAATGCAAAATTTGTAGAGGGGCTTTTATGCAAGATTGGCTAAATTCTGCAAAAAGGGTTTATTTGCAAAATTTAACCAAAATGGTGGGGTACCGGGGGTGCTAAATGATCGGATATGACGATCATGACCCGAACCGGGTGTGTCCTTGACCTGAATTTTGGCCTTGAACACGGAGGGTATTTTGGGTATTTCACCAAAATTCACCGCGAAAATGACAATCATTGTTTCGCATGCACGAAATTTGTAGGTTTAACTAGACTTCAATTATGAAATCCTATTTATGTATAGGATTTTAATTAAAGTTCTCAATTTCCCTTTTAAATTTCGTGTATTCATATTTTAGATTGTACCTGACTTGTTGCTTTGCAGATTGGCAATGTCTCCGCGTCGATCTCGTCCCCGGAGGAGCCGTTCTCGTTCACAGCATAGTGAGGAGGAGGTCCCCACGACATCCTCTCCCGCGGCTTCATTTTTCGGGGGTGAGAATTTATGCAGAGATTTTGTCTTATATCCCTGATTGACCTCTTTGCGGGTCATGAAGGAAGAACCGATACCTCTCTCGCGGAGGGTAAGGTTTCAGACTTGTTTTGCTTAGCCAATTCAAGTCTTCGGATATATTGGGGCGATTTTGTGTTGTCCTACACCTTATAGGTCGGTGTACGTTACCACGTTATTCACGTGATAATGCATGCCGTCCTTCCGGTGTAGGTCACTCAAAATCGTCTCTCCAATTATTCCGTGGATGAGTCTATCATTCTTCTTACGAGATGGATTTTCTGATTCCGCCCTTGTGCTTTATTGCAGTGGAATTTCCCGCGGGTAGCCTTCCCTCTCACGCCAACACCGGCTGTAGTCGGGAAGTTTTCTCTTCAGCCTCCCTTAGGCAGGTTGTTAGCCCACTTCCTCGGTTCGATAGAGGTCGCTCAGATGAATCTTGTCGCTTAGTACGGGAAGGAGGGCGCCACTGCTTGCGCCAGCTTATCACAGACGCCACCTTTACCGCTGACTCTACTTCTACTCAGGCTTTACAGAAGCCGAGCTTCTTGTTCGGGGATCATGTTGAGGACCCCGCTATATTGACTCTTGAAGAGGAGCACTGGCTGACTTTTGATGGTGGAGCTTGTTTGTACATCCCTTCGATTCCACGCCATTATTCTTTCAGTCACTTGAAGGGGCAAGCCGTGGACAGACGGATGTCTTGGCATCTTACTGAAGATGCTGAGCGGGTTCAGTGCGGATATGCTACTCACCATAAGACTCCTGGCTCTGACGGGTATCATGACGTACGTGGTCTACGACCCGGGGTTATGGGCCTTGATACCGCACCCCCAGGCGAGGTGTCCGCTACTGCTCCGACCGTGAGCAACCGTCTGGCTCTTCTTGGGAGACAGTTACCTCTGCCAGAATACAGATGCTATGGTTGGGCTTCCTCCCTAGCCAAGGGGTGGTGGGCGCGCATGACTGGTTTTGTCTTAGCGCGCTGGGAGAGGGATCTGAAGAGCAGTGGGTTGTATGCGCCCATACGAGCTACTATGTACGGAATCCCAGTCAGCTGTCGCCATTTCTTGGCTTTGCTGGAGACCTATATGCCTGACAGCAACACCTTTCTGACCAGGGGTGGTGAGCTAGGGTTGGCCTTGCACGAGATGCACCATATTTCGGGTCTTCCTATGGGGGATTGTCCGTATCAGGAGTACTTCCCCTCGAACCAGCAACTGGAGTGTATGAAGAAAGATACTCCGGATATGTATGACACACTCTGGGATCTTACTTGCCACTACTATACTTCCTTGATCCAGACTTCTCCTCAAGCGAGGAGGAAGAGGCAGATCAGCTTGAAGCAGTTTGCCAGCTACTTGTTCCAAAACTTGGAGGGTGATTCCAGTTTAGACGTGTTGACCCCTTCCGCCGTTAATGAGTTGTTGGAGAAGGCTGAGGCTCGTTCCTACACCATCGGCAGTGCTGAGGGAGCTTTTCCCGCGGGGACTAAGTTTCGTTCTTTTCTCCGCCGCGCCCAGAAGTCCATGGGGCCTCGGGCTCTATTAGTGGGCTACCGCGCCCAGAAGTCCATAGGGCCCCACACCAGCCTTCAGACGCTCTACCCATCGAGGTGCTCTTCCCTGCAGTTCAGCTGGCTTACGGGAGAGAGCTTTCCCTGCTCCCAGCAATGGTTGCTAGCATCCATTGCGGGCTCAGGGGTCTGGTCAGCAGTTTTACACATGTGGGTTCTGAACCATCAGCTGAGCTGGTTTGTCCGAAGGTTGAGCTCCCTTACGCATATTTGATGGCATGGCTCGTTCTTCACCGTCCCGACTTGATGTCGGCACCCAACGTTGTTGACATCCCCGTCCCCTTCCTGCAATTGTTGGAGCAGAGCAGATGGCTTGGGACAATTTTATATGCCTACAGTGTTTTCCTCACTTTTCAGGTCGCTATGGCGACGTGCTGATTGATGAGGAGAAACCTAGAAGTGATCGGACCATTCTTGACGCTGGTTGCTTTCGGTGGCTAGTGAACATCCGCGTTGGGTATCTTGTCCTCCGGGTGAAGAACCAATGCCACATAGAGCCTTATCTCCCTTGCCGCTTTGCTCGCCAGTTCGGCTATGACCAACTGTATGTTGGGAATCCGAGCCGTAGCCTGCAGATTGAGGGAGGACTGATTGATGGCGTACGAACGTGGCTATGGACAATGGTGGGCTGCACTGGAGCCCATTTTGCTCTTCCTTCGCATAGGCGTAAGCCACTGATCACTTTCCTCAGCTGCAAGTGGTTCCTTTCTGCCTATGAGTCCATCAATGTGAGGAGCCTCTCAGAATTACAGTCCGAGTATGCGGTCCGAGCTGCTATGATGGCTGGTCGCAGGGCTGAGCTTGCTCAGAAGCGGAGAAAAGGGCATGCCAAATCTCTTCTCTCAGACGAAGAAGAGCTCCTCCCTACGGGTGACGATGACGAGACCTCCGAGGAAGCATATGTGGATGCAGATACCGACAGAGGGGATCTCGATACTGGTTTGTCCTGCCTCTTTGATTTTCTTTCTCCATTCTTGTTGGTATAAACGACAGCTCTTGTTCGTTTAATGATCCTTGTCACTTTAGGTAGGACAGTTGACGATCATGAGCCGCCAGCTTCTACACACGCTGAAACGTGTGACAGGTATGTGCATGATCGACCCGTTGGTCCTAGGAGGGTTGGCGCTCCGAAGCGGAAGAAGACCG